AATTATAGATTAAATTTATCTTTATATATATTAATTTACTAATTAAGATTTAATAACAAATACCTGGGTATGATAATAGACTATAGATAATAGGTATAAAAAGGTACTCCCAACCCCCGAAGTTGGAACACCTTCAAAGACCTCACTTAGCATAATATAAACCCTATATTTACAAGAATCACAGTAAGTATTAAGGCCTAAGGATAGAGTTTGCGAGGTTTCTGCCCTGCAGAATAGTGCAATCAAGAAAGCGGTTAAACCGGGCAATAAATGGACAGTTTCAAACTTTTGGTAATCCACGTATGTACATGACTAACTATCACTGATAGGAAATTCTATTAGCTGGCAACATGTGACTTCATGTTGCCCCAGGCCTCTGACGTCACCTATAAGCTCATGTGTTGTGACTTGTGAGTCATGTGTCCTTATTCTGACTCAAGATGAGTAATAGGCACCAATTGACTTGACTATTCATTCCATGAACTCTGTAACTAATTTCTCTGGCTAATATTCAAAAACTCCACAGGCCTCCATTTTTTATGGTATGCTGTTCTGCTATTCCCTTCTACTCTGAGTACTAGCCTTTCTATTGGTTAACAATGTGTTAGACTGTACAGAGTTTATTCTTAAGTAATCAAATTCTGTTAACTGTCACAGGTCTCTTGCCATATTACCCGAGTTTAGTTAGCAACTCTCAACTCCAATGTTAGAAATATTGTAGAATCTGACAAAAGTTAAAGATTCTCAAAACAGTGTATAGCTGTAGCATTTACACTGGGTATCAAGCTACCATATATACTCTGAACTAGGCATTCATATTTGGTCTCTGACACCAGGTACTATGAATTGCCACATGAACAGTCCCATGAAGTGATAGCTACAATTACTGAAAAGTAGAATCAGGAAGCTGCCAGACTAGGTGGGGTAAGTAGGCTGTTGTTGTGGTGCTTCACACTGTACACAACTATACATATTATGAGAGATTGCCATTGTTGTTAGGTCTGACCGTCAGGCAACTGCAAGCGGTGGGGCTGAAGATCGCCCATGATTCATCCACCAGAGGTAGTGTGATGCTACAGGTGATCTGACTCTTACCCACCCTTTCAGCCTAACATGCAGGAAAATACCAATTCCGAGCCGCTATTGGCGGATACACTGCTAAATCTGCCCCTCGATGGATGCCACACCGTGAGCGTACCCACACCACTGCCCCCCTTTATAGCAGAATTTCTCCCCGCTCTTCTGTGGCAGTTGTCGTCATATGGCCCTTAATACCGAAGCACTGTATATATCGGAAAACAGCAACACCTCTTCCTCAGATTCTCAAAGGGCTCTTAACACCTGGTAGATCCTGTTAACATCCTCAAGCCATCCATACATGAATATCATACCTTCCAATGCTTCCCGGCGACTCTGCAATTGGTGATGGTTCACAGAAGGAACCGTGACCTTGTGATTAGGTAGATGTTTCTACTGCCACGCGCCAACCCCGCATGTCTTATGAGCATCATGGGTACTGCGCTTAAAGCATCAGCCCCAGTCATTGGCGCATTGACTCATACGCAGTAGCAGTTCGATCTCTTCTCAGTTTCGCGCCCACCCTTCTCAGGGGCCTTAGTGTATTTCCTTTCTTCCGAATAGGGATAGACTCGCCCTGTTGATCTGTCCTTGAGTTTCTTAAATACATCACGGCATCCCCCCACCATTCTTTCCAATTGTGACCTTAAATCTGTAAGAGACATCGCCCAATATTCGTATCAAACATTGCACGCTCGGTCATAGTGAGCCTTATCGCCGAAGGGGTTTCTATGTCATCTGCCTATTGCCACCCATAAGACAAAGAGGCGGCCCTGACAAATCACTTTCACGTGTGCCTTGCCAACATTGCCCAATCCTTATTCCATTGACTTCCATAAACATATCATCAGTGTTCGTCACATATCGCCCTTTAGGCACTATATCTTTAGCAGAAAACCAGCAGTGACTTTCCCCCTTATACTCACTCACACAATCCTCATTTTTTGTTGTTGTCTGTGTCTGCGACTGACAATCAATCCATTGGGATGACCTCATTTTCTGTTGCCTCACCTTTGGGCCGAAACAATAAGACGAACATGAATCGTTTACCATCCGTTTCCAGCCTCATGTCGCCCCCCGAGTCCAAACCTTTCGATAGTTTTAACCCTGCATTTTCACCCCATCAAGTGTCACAGGATCCCTCACTCAGCCATGACATGAAACTTCCTCCTATCTCCGTCGACCGGAAGCGAACACAATCGGAGATGGACTTACCGTCGCCACCTGTAACTCCCTACACAGGCAACAAAAAAGGAAGTCAAATACATCAGAGCAGCTCGAGAGAGATTCAGTAGTTGGCTCTTCAAGGGATCCTGTCCTTTTCCCTCGCCACGATTCTCTTACAGAAGTTGCTACTGATGAGCCGTTGTTTGGTCCCATGCTTCCTACCGCGACGGAAGCATTGGTTGAGCAGCATATTAATTCCCACATGGCAAGGTTTGAAAATAAACTAAATAAACCGACACGCGATGAGTACCTTCTAGCTCTTTCGTGTGTGCCAATCGTTTCAGCTCAATATAATCGCAACCCAGGAGCATGGGCTAAAGAGGAGCGAGAAACGCTCGAGCGCCAACTGGTCTTGATGAATCGTTGCCGTCCACACTCGTTGGAGGCGAAATTAAAGAGAATTGCTCCAGCGCCGGCCAAGAGGACAGTTCCTGCTCAGACTCGTGCGCAGCGGACTCCCAGGGCTAAGCGTACACCAAGATTCACACCAAAGCAAAAAGTTTTGGACACGTTTGACTTAACCTCACAATCCAGTAACAAGCAACCCCGAGCTATAGGCACGAACCGGGATGACACAGACTATAAGTCCATTATGGATTATTCCCCTCCTTTAGAGACTCTCGGAAACAATGCAAAGGCATTAAAAGCAGACTGGAAAGGACAAATGCTGGATCTCAGCAACGATTCAGATCGACACTTGTTGAGCGCCGCCGAGCTCAATCTTGCAGCCACGTTAAGGCTTTCCTGTGCAACGTATCTATGCAGCAAGCGTCGCATATTTGAGGCTCGTGTGAGGGCTTTGAACGTCGGAAAAGAATTTCGGAAGACAGACGCTCAACAGGCCTGCAAGATTGATGTTAACAAAGCAAGCAAGCTTTGGACGGCATATGATCGAGTTGGCTGGTTCAGACCAGAGCATTTCGAACAATTTCTTAACTGACGTTACAAGATATATTACCCAAGCTTGCCATGCAAAGTTTTTGCATCCCATCAAGTGAATTTTTGTTCTTTTGTTGGTTTATTAGCGAGTTGTCAGGTTCTTGCATATTATTAAAACCCCCCTGTTTTATGTCACTGGGCATGGCTGGTCTGTGTACAACGAAGTGACTCCTGCAATTTTGACCCGTCTTTTTGCGGGATCTCATGTCCTTTGCCTTTGGCGTTGTAATTGGAGTATGTTTGCATTGGTCTTATGCATAGCTGTCCTTGATGCTCTTGAATAGTTTCTTTCTTCCCAAGGCACAGTATTTGGCAGTGAAACACATCCCAGACGTGTCACCATATGTTTATCATACTGTATTTACCGCGGATGGCTTGTTTCTCGTTGGGTACGATTATTTTTACCTAGAATGGCAGGTTCGGATTTGATGTTAGTGGATTTTCGACGATTGACCATTGAACGAAGATATCAGGGCCTTGGCATATCACTGCATTATTGACGTAGATGGCTGACTTTCATGCATGCCTCCCACTTCATCTAGGATCTTGCTCGGAAATCATTATGTTTAGATTTCCCCTCTTCATTGTATGAGCGAATGTTGGTGGGGGAAAGGAGGGTAGAGGGTAAGAAAAGACAGATGGGACTTTCTGAACGTATAGCAAGCAATCCATTCTAGCTAGTTAAATGTTCACTGCCTCTCATGTGTGGTTACCCTGCTTTTGGCCTCTAGATAGAGTTTTCTAGGAATAATGGTTTTCTTAATCTCTGACACACGTGACACATCCCCAAAATGGTGATTTATCACCACAATCTAAAGGCGGCTGTGTCCATAGTGAACTTAAAGCGGCAAGCGGAAGCGACGCCTGACCAACTGCTTACTCTACAGAGTACGTATGCAATCCCCGTTACTTCCGCTCCGCGCCACATGTGGTAAAGTCCGACCCAAATCGTTTCGTGCATCTGTTCCTTTACCTTTACTGTCTTGATACTAGCATCTGATTCCACATAGTCAGGCTTCAGTCTTCCTTTGTGTTGCGCGCTCGAACCGGCGAGGAAGTCCCTAAACGATAATGTCTCATACCGAGGCTGCTCGTACAGACTCCTTGGGTGAACAGGAAACTCGGGGTGATGTAGAGACCGATAAAAAGGCCAAAAACAGACGACCTGCAAGTATGGATCTACACAGTCCTGCGAGTATTACAACATCAGTATTTTAACCAATGCTTATGCCATATCTAGATACTGCTTTTCGGCAACAGCGCCTGAAAGCCTGGCAGTGAGTTTCTCGTTCCAACGAGTTGCATAGTATTCGTGTCTCGTCTTGCTGACGCGTCGCAGGCCTATCTTGACACCAAGGAGTGTGTTACCTTTGTTTTTTGTCGTTGGTGTTATTTTTGCACCCATTGGCGGCCTTCTCTTGTGGGCAAGCTCAGAGGTAAGATCGAAATTCTCGTGATGCGCTTGCTGCTAATGACAACCGTATATCTGTGCAGGTACAAGAAATTGTGATAGATTACTCTGAGTGTGCTGATAAAGCACAACGGACCCCTGTCCCAATCCCAGACAAAGTCAAATCGTCCTTCAAATCGTCCAATCAGCAGCCTAATCCGACTTGGATGAAATACAGAGATGAAGAGACGAACGAGACCATTTGTCGCTTGAGTTTCAAGATCCCAGAGAACATCGAACCTCCTGTGTTTATGTATTATCGCCTGACAAACTTCTACCAAAACCATCGGCGATACGTGAAATCGCTAGATATAGACCAGCTTAAAGGAAAGGCAGTCGACAATAAAACTATTGATGGCGGTTCATGTGACCCACTCAAGCTTGATGACAGCGGCAAAGCATACTATCCATGTGGACTTATCGCTAACTCCATGTTCAACGATACAATAAAAAGCCCCGAGCTTTTGAACGATGGAAATGACGATGATCCTGTAGTATACGTCATGACTAACAAGGGCATCGCATGGGATAGCGATAAGGAACTTATTAAAACCACGCAGTACAAACCAGGACAGGTTGTCCCCCCTCCGAATTGGCAGGCCCGCTATCCGCATAATTACACCACAGAGATTCCCGATCTCCACGATAATGAGGAATTCATGGTTTGGATGAGAACAGCTGCATTGCCTAACTTCAGCAAACTGTCCCGGAGGAATGATACCACGGCAATGTCACCAGGCACTTACCAATTGGACATCGCAGATCGTAAGATTCATGCTTCACACAATGTCTGTTCTGCGTTAACTGTTATGCAGACTTTCCAGTTACAGAGTATGGTGGAACAAAGTCAATACTCATATCTTCCCGGACTGTAATTGGTGGGCAGAACCCTTTCATGGGTATTGCATATGTTGTTGTTGGCGGTCTATGCGTCCTTCTTGGGGCGCTTTTCACTATTGCTCATCTAGTGCGGCCCAGGTAAAGATGCTTCACCCAACCTGATTCTCATAGATCTTGATGGGACTGACAATGCATATAGGAAGCTTGGAGATCACACTTACTTGACCTGGAATAACGAGCAGGAAGGTAGCGCCATAGCAACCGGGAGAGATAATAGGTTTGGGCCGACCACCCATTAAATAATACGTGTTTTCCAACCGACCCCACCGTGCGTTATTGTACATGATTGAGTTCCATGCAATCATCTATGGTTCCTGAGAAACCATGCGTCATAGTTCGAGGCGTCTGTGGCTGGAGTTCCTTGTGGTGTCTGTTAAATTTAAGCGGCCTTCCCCTTACTTAACTGTTGGTATGACTGCTTTTGTTGCGACACTAGTGTCACCTGGAGTGGGTGTGCCATCAGAGCAAGAGGCCACCTGTTTACGAAGACTGATCTAACGACGGTTGTCGCCAGATTGTTATTTTGAGTTTCCCAGATAGGTTGTTTACACCCCTTGTTAACATTCCCGTTACGTTTTGGCATTCTTGGACTCAATTATGCTTCTCTTTCCACAGCATCCCCGGTTATATTCACCTGGTAAGCTGGCTCTGGCGAAGTTCTATGAAGCCACCAATGTTGAAAAAGCAACATGTCGCATTTTCCCACTTTACATATTTTGATCCTTGTGATAGCCAATCTACAAATTCAATGCTTCGCTTTTGTTTCGCAGAGTCGTGGCTTCTGTGCGACCAGCCCGCCCACTGAATCCCTCAAGGCAGAGTACAGGAGATTGAGCGCACTAGGTTTCCAGAATCACAACCCTGTTGATTCCGAAAGTCGGGCGGCAGTCGCCCCGATTGAGATAGATACGTGGTTTCACATCGTTACTGGTGAAGCGGAAACCGAATCGATCTCAGATGAGATGGTTGCTGATCAGGTCAGTAGTGGCAGCTTTTTTGGCTCAGTGTTCCTTTTCCACCCCTCTTTTTTACCTTTTCTTTCTTCTGTGATTATGACAAACAATCTGCTGTTTTCGATAAGTATAGTACCAGCAATCGTCTGACTTTCCCATGTGAAGCTTTCTTACCTCCAGAACGCATACCAAAATGCTACAATATCTTACCGCTTACAAGGCGTGACCCGCTCGGTAAACGATACGTGGGCTCGCAATGAGGACGAAATGGCAATGAAGACGGCCCTTCGCAGAGGGAGTTATAGGACACTTAATGTTTACTTTCACACTGATCTCCAGGGGTCTGCAAGCGCGGGTGCCAGGGCTTCTGACATCGTCCGCCGCGAAATGGGTGCCTCGCAACCACAATCCACCAGCATGCTTGGCTTTTGCACATTACCTGACCCGAGCATAAACGCTAGCAGCCCCCGATCTACTTATATCAAAGATGGCTGTAATGTACTTGCGGAAACCATGCCGGGTGGTTCTCTCGTACATTACAACAGAGGCGGTACCGCGATTCATGAAATAGGTCATTGGAATGGTCTGCTGCACATCTTCGAAGGAGAGTCATGCTCGCCCGATAACGAGGGCGATTTCATCGCAGACACGCCGCAGCAATCCAAGCCCACAGAAGGGTGTCCTGCCCAGAAAGATTCATGTCCAGAGCTCCCAGGGCTTGATGCTATCCACAATTTTATGGACTATTCCTCTGATGAGTGCTACGATTCCTTTACTCCGGACCAGGTCAGTAGGATGCGAAGCATGTGGTTTGCGATGAGAGATGGGAAGTGAAACATGGAGAATACATTGTATTTCCTCATGACGTGTACCGCCTCTCAGTACTGGGATTGAAATTGCCAGTTCGCATCGTTATTCTGACTCTCCTATGTGCTGCTTGGTATTGTTTTTCATATGAATTGTGCCGCATGGTTGCACAGCCCAAGTGTAGGAATGGTATACATATATATTATATACTACGCTAGGTGCAGCGTGATAAATGGAAGTCATAAGAAGCGCACTCCTGTAATACATCACTCTTCTCAATTCTTTTGACGCAGTAGAGTATCCATCCAGAGCGATCAACTGGCGTTTATTCGGCAGATTATGTTATAACAGGTTGAACTCAAACTCCTGAATTTTCTACCTTTATAGGAGAGTATATAAGCTGGGAGCTAGATTGATGCAGGATTCAAAGTGGCTGCTGTACAATGTCTCTACCACCAAGGTGTCTTGGGACGAGACCACGAAAACTCTAGGGCAATGTGTCGGGAAGCTAGAAACGCCGATCCCCTGGATCTCGTCAACCAGGCGCAGGAAGATACCATGGCAATTGCTACTATACAGGTTATATACGAAGCACAGCGAATGCGCTGGGCGTTCACGACACTGTGATTGACTTGCATAAACACCCTGCTATTGCTACATGACAGGGAAAATACTTATCCCATGGTAATGTCTGAAACCTGGTAATCATCACCATAAACGTAGCGAAATTCTCAGAAATAAAAGATAGGGGAAATAAAAGAAAAGAGAAACAGGTCCCATAAGATATACCCTATGATACAATTACCAACATTAACGTTTTCGCTTCTTACCGCGTTCCTCATCATCCAAACCACTTTCCCTATCCTTCTTCTTGGCCTTCCTTTCCAATTCGTCCCAATCCTCACCACTGTCCTCATCCGCGCTGAAGTCTTCACTTGCCTCAGCACTGGCGTCGTCATCAAATTCGCTATCATCTTCCGAGCTTTCGTCTGCCGCAGCAAGTTCTGACTCCGACAGCTCGAATGCAGATTCCTCCTCATCGGACGCCCCACCCTCGGAATCAGACTCTGCTGCAAGGAAAGACCAACCTCCATCGGCAAAGAAGCCGTATGGGTCACTTACAACCGTCTTCATGATTGTAGTCCAGTTAAGGTTTAGTGGCCCTTCCGTGAATGCAATGTCGACAGAATCGAGCCAATCCTTCACTCCTTCAAGGGACTCAACAGGAATTGTGTTAACATGAACAGGTGGTCTGTGGAAGTCTTTAAACACAAACACCAAGTCAAAGTTCTTAAGCCCAAACTACAGCCATGTTAGCAATATGAAGCGCGCCTGTCCAACCAGTACATACCTGAACCCGCTCTAGATGAGCAATTTCAATCTCATTCAGGGTGATTACAAGAAAAGGGGGCTCTGTTAACTGAACCAGAGCATCCGTGGTTGGCTGGATTAAGACATTGGAGCGGTTCGGTACACCAGTGAAACCAATTTCTCTAAATGGGATGTCAACGTCCACTCCTTCGTCTTTACCCGCATCTGCTATTTTTTCAGCAAAGGCCTTAAATTCTCGATCCAAGGCTGCCCTCCGCCGTCTCTCTTCTTGTTCTGCCTCGAACTCTTCCTCGTCACCGTACCGATGTTTGCGCCTACGATTGCCAGTCTCATCAAACTGCATCTCAGTGGCCTCACGATAGAACTGCACGTCCCTCGTCTTGCGCTTGCCAATCATGATGGGTGTTTTCAGGTGAACATGAATTAGGACAATCAACTCGTGGGCACAAGGCTGAAAAAATAGGTGTTTCACATTGCTGAAAAGCACGTCGACATGCTCGTTTCGGAAAGGTGACATATAACGAAGACCATTTTGGTGGATTTCGACCTCTCCGGGGACTCGTTTACCATCTAACGGAGGCCGAAGATAAACATCGGGCAATCTCACAGGACGGCGATCTGGAGTACTGTTAGTTCATGTTAACGTGATTAAAGGATTGTTATCAAATACTTCTGATTTCGACAAGCTTATCTTGCTCCACTACATCTTCCATCTCTTTCTTTTCCTGTTCACGTCTCAGGGCATTTTTCCTGAGCTCTGTGATATCCTGAGCAACCTGTGCAAGTCGTTCGTTATCTTTGGACCTGAGGGTTAAATTGCGCAGAAAGTGTGCCGATATGTCTTCAAATGGTTGATCATCCTTCCGACCAACACCCTGCCCGGGGGAAAGAAAATTGATTCGGAGATAAGCATATTCTCCTTCATCACTCTTGCTAGCATTTTTGATTGTGTTGATATGGAAAGGTACTGGTCGACCCATGATTGGAACAATTACCGTCGATGCTTTGTGATCCACATAAATGGTGAGATCCTTAACCTTAATAGGCAACTGGTTATCCCTCTTGTACGATTCAAATCGTTTGAATTTTTTCTGGGTGACTCCATTATCGTCACCAGTAGTACCAGCGAATCGATCGAGGCCTTCCTTTGTCTTTTTTGTCGCCAACTCCTTCTGGTGTTCGCGAGTCGTGCCTCTGCACCTTCATTGACCTGAGTCGGTCGCTCGGCGCGAAGCTTGGTGCGAGTAACATTTCTGCTAGCTGTTGCGCTGGACTTGACCTCCTTTTTCTCTTTGGCAGGTTTCTGGGGTTCCTCTTCATCCCCAAAGTAGAATGAAACAGAATCCATATCAATACCTGCATCCTTAGTGAATATGTGCGGACCATTTTCTCCAACACGTACAGTATCTGTAATAATCATCGAGTAGACAGAATTGTTTTTGTCTTTGGACTCCAGCTCTTCGACATCTGTTAGCCCCACCGTTATAGAAAGAGTCATGCCACTCTTCAAAATTTTGTTGTTCTTGCCATTCAAAACCATGTTAGAATCTCGGAGCTCAATTCCAATACCGGCCCCAACGCTTTTAACGAAGTGACTTTCAAGCTCAGGTTTCTTGGCTCGTACCAGCCCAATTGCTTTGTTAAATAGGTCTTTGGCCATCGTTCCGTCGCGAACGTCCTTCATCACTGCATCGTGAAGGTTCAGGAGAAAGGCATAATTAGCTTCCTGAGACTTGCTCGGATCTACCAAATAGGTGCGTGCAATTATGGAACTGTAAGTTTTGTAGCGGATTCCAAACCCAGCAACAATAATCCCTGCCTGAAGGTGACTATTATCAGACGTAGCTGTAAGTCGAAGGTCATACTTTCCGCCACTTTGAATGACAGGGCCATAGGCCCAATCAATCTGTTGAGGATCAAATTCCGTTGGGAGCTTAGCAAGTTTCTTAAAGAATTTCGCATCATCAATTTTGGCGTCGATCCGCATCGAGAGTGCCTTGTGTGTCATTTGTTTTTCTTCGTCGAGTAGGCGGGACATCTCATCAACGAAATATTCGGACATTAAACCGCTACAAGCCCTTGAGGCGTTTCGTATAGCCACCTTCAGAGTATTAGATCTCAGATCGCTCAGTACAGTGCCAGGAAAAGAGCCTACCAACTCATCTGTATCTTTCACGGAGAAGGCGGCTGCAGAAAGAGCGGGTGAAATGTCGACTTCTTCCACATCTTGCGATATGTTTCCAAACGAACGCTTCCAATCTTCCGCGAACGGGCCAGCAGCTGTATCTCTTGGAAGTACGCCAACCCTTTTCTATTGCAGGTACTTGATTAGTACGTATTACATATATTCGAGTGTTTAGAGTGTAGGGTAACACTCACGCCGGCATTTTTTATAACTTCTAAGCATTTTTCGAACGATCTGGTTTTTTCGTTTGGATCCTTGGAGGTGATAAGTATCTCCACTGGGATCTTGCCACCTTTCAAGGGTTCAAGGTGTTTGGCTACATTGCATAGGCCGGTGTCAGTCGACAGATTTATAAAACCCGCATTAAGCAGTTCTCACCCTTTTTCGCTGTAGTCACAACGTACATCATATCTGTTGTGAAAACCATAAGCGTAGCCGGAAATTCATAGCCAAGGAGCCAGAACTAGGATTGATGGTTAACAATTTGGAGCCTTTAGAGTGGGTTGTACGTGAAAGGAGGAATGAGCCATACATGCATCGCGTTGTTTTTTTGAAAGCTATTCGCTTCATCTGTTTTCCCCATGAGAATAACGATTGATCCTACGCCGCCAAAGACAGCATGGCCAGGTCGTTTGTCTGCCTTCCATGCTGCAAAGAAGCTTGAGAGACGGTTGAAAAAAGCGCTTTTATCGATCACGATCTCTTCAGCCATGGTGTATATGATTCAGGTTCAAGTCGAAGATCTAATACCTCCTGATCTTCAACAAAAGTCTGGGTAGGGAGACGGGAGTATAAAGCAAAAATAAAGTAATATATTACTGGGCATGTATTAGGCAAGCTCCCAAGTAGCCAGTATCGGCACGGCTACTTTAGTTGGTATGTGGTTGTGGAAGCAAGCGACATAGGTAGACGCTTATCAAGAGAAGCTAGGAAGGAACGCGGGTCAAGAGCGGCAAAGCGCGTTTTGGGCAAAGCCTTCAAGTGTTTGTACTGTTTGATTCACATGCAGTGACGATATTGCAGTACTGAGTTGTTTATCACATATGGGACCTCAAGGGCGCTGAGGTATTGTCCACAGCCACTACAACTGCACTATATTGCCGAGTGAATCTCTAAAAACTCTTTATCCATCTTATTTGCTCATGCTATCAGCACAATTCTTAGCTCATTGTTTCAGGACTTATTATTGCATTTGCTTTCATTGCTTTTTAGTGTATTGATGCGGCCACCTTCCTGATGGAGCATGTCAATATTAATACTGCAAAATGGAATCCCAAAAATGCTTTACCCCTTGCGATACAATAGACCGTGGTTCTTATGCGTTCAGTTCAGATACTGAAAGCTCCTCCAACAAGAAACCACGCAATAATGCAGCTACCGGGGCATCTGCTGCTGGGGTTCGTGCTCTCAGCGCGCAGTTGGTTGCATTCTACTTCCGAGCGCCAATAAAAGCATTCTTTCGCACTCGAGTTGAGTATGAAGCCCTGGCATTATTGCTTTCTTTTTGTCTTTATCCAAGAATTCATATTGACTTGATGATTTTGCCCTCAGTTACATGGTACTTGATACAGTCTCCAACCGTCATATATACTCATCACTAATGCTGGCCGTCTATTTATGTACTTCATAATAGGCATTTGCTAGGGCTGTCAATCCACACTCATCTGAAAGCCGATGGTCTCTCCATACTACTACCCCAGGGCTACTCGTTCATGCTGTTCGCACATATGGTTGGCGCTTTATTCCAAATCAGATCATGCCTCCCCTTTTGGCAAATGCTGGGTGGGTTTATAGGGAAACATACACCCATTATATACAACTAACTTTGCTAATAGGGTTGGTGCTGTGTTATATACATCATATCTCCAGGTTCTTGGAGCCTTGTATGAGCCAGCCTCCCGTGGGGTGAAGCGTATCTATCCACCTGCTAGTCCGTTATATACATTTACAGCTGGATTTGCGGCTGGAGCCATTCAATCGATAGTGGCTGCGCCTTTGGATGCTCTCCAGGTTCGTCTTCGGGCGAATGACATACTTGAAGGCCAGTATCGGAGCATGTGGCATTACGGCCGACATAAACTCAAACAGATCGGCATTCGTGGTATCTTTGCGGGCTGGAGCCTGTCATTCTTGCGCGACGCTTTCGGCTATGGCGTCTTTTTCTCGTTTTTCGAGTACATCAAATCGCAGGCATACTATTCATTTATCACCGGATACTATGGACCTTTGCGCATTCATTATGTGAACGAGCTGTTGTCTACTAAGTCCGGTGACCGCGATGTTCCACTCATCAAACCTCACTATACTCTAGAACCGTGCTTTTTGATGGCCGCGGGCGTTGCGGCATCCATAGCCCAACAAGCAATACAGCACCCGCTAAGCATCATACAGAACCTTCATATTGCTCGACTAGAATATTTGGATCATCAGGCAAGCCTCCATCCTTCCAGGCGGCAGATGCTACGTCTTTATTATCTTGCCTATCAGGAGACATACAAACGATGCAGGAAGAGGGCCACGCGAGCTGGTGGATGGCGCCATTGGTTGTTTCGCGGATTTGTAAGAAATGCCATTCGTCAAGTGCCGAGCACTAGTGCTGGATTGGTGATATTTGATTGGTGCGTCGTAAATATGCCAGTTTGGCGGATGCCGTGTATATTCAGGGAGATGGATATGATCTTCTCCTACCATAGGGCCTCCTTATTCCACAGATATGTCTTGGGATGAGAAGACGGACCAGCTGAGGGGTTAGTAACTGAATAGTGATCGTATTAGCCCTGTGGCAGATGACGCAGCCGCAGTACTGGTATAAAGACTGCGTCGTGATGTCAATTGACTGCCTCATATGAAAGCTAATGTGCTCGTCAACCCCAGCAAGAAAAAGGATTTTTGCGATAGCTGGTTCTCTCTGTGCGTATATATTTCTCCTGCGAACAAAACATAGTATTCCCTAAGCCGGCACCCTGGAGGAGAAGTTAATCTACTTGTAGACCAACATGGGTGTTTTATACATTATTGGAGGTTCCAGCTTCTAGACTACTTCCCCATAAAGACTCCATTCGCTATCTAGCGATTATTCCACGGAGGTGACTCCAAGCCCCGGCCCACCTCTGGCGGTTACCTAAGAGGAATAAATGTCATATGGAAGCGGCCAACCATGACTGCCACCACTCAGTAACCCCGGTAATTCAAAGACAGAATTAGCACCATGGATGGGTTCCATTGGTGCACAGGGTGGCTGCCCAGACTTACTACTAGTACTAGCACTACAGGCAGTCAATTGGAAAGTTACCCGGCCCGATAATTTATGTACGGAGTATGCAAATGCCATTAATTACAGTACCTATACCAGGTAGGTAATTAGTACCCCTCCACTGCAAAGGTACCTTCTCGAACTTCGTATAAGCCTACCCGAAAAGGTCCTACCTGGTTCATTACCTCAAGAGGAGACCTATCTAGTACCTAGGATTTGGAAGCCCCAGGATAGTCTGGGCACCTGGGTCGAATGGATGGACAATTTAAGGCGCTAGGACACTAGACCAAGTGACCCATATTTCCTGGATCCACCCTTCCGCTGGTTGTACCGTTGTGGAGGTTCCCCCAGATACATCTCCAGCGGCAAAGAATAATTAACGCCATTACGTTCACTGTTCCAGCTATTCATTGCTGCCCCTAGGTATTTCAGAGCACTGTTAGCTTTTGTCTTGTATGGAACCCCACACCTGGGCATGTCCTTTAAAACACATAAACTTCCATCCAGTGATCAGCTGTACGTATTCTTGATTGCAAGTCATCACCTGCTAACGTAAATATGCTCTTTGCCCAACCTGTTAGCCTTATTTGATTACCTTTCCTTACTTCCACCTGACCGTCTCTTTTCGGCTGAACAGCATCGATTTTCGTCATTTTGCATCGTTGGTCAACTGCCCGTCTCGTGGACAGAATCATCACTACCGCTTTCTACTCTCGTTGACTCGTCTATTGGTTACCGGACCTTTGCCTCAGCTTGTTTTCCGTCACCCTATTACAGTGTCGTTCTTCTGATTCATCCCTTCGAACGGGTCTCATCGGGGCCGGTCTGTTAGTTCGTATGCCCCTTGATGAAATTTCCTTAGTCCATTTCTCTGTGGAGGAATACGGGGTGTCTCTACTCGCATCAATTGTCGATCCACCCCAACTCAAACATATTACCTACTCACCTTTCACCGCAAGAAGGGCTGATAACTGCAGCCCATCACGACCGTCAACATTACTTCGACATCTTCGCCGTATACTTCCTCGAGTATACCCTTGCGGTCTCTACAATACCGGTCTCAGTCATCTCCTGTGCAGTCTGTGAGAACACACGAATCTGCTAGCGAGAAGGGTAGCCGGCGTTCTTCTTTATCTGTACAGTCTGTCGAGTCTGAGTATTCTCTCTGGACAGACACTGGCGACCTAGCTGAACAGCTCGCTAATGAAGAAGATCCTCTCCGGACCCGTCTCGGAGAATCTCTGGACCGTGAGATCTCTAATCGATTGGGGTCGAGGGCGCGAGTAAAACAGCTGAAACGAGTACATTACCCTAACGAAGGCAATCTTGTCACTGAGCAAGCCGAACCCGAGAAGACGTCAATAGAGATACCTCGTCCGCCGCCCCGGCATATTTCGCGGGTTGAACGTCTCCTCGCTGTCATAATGTCTCCAGGCGATCGGCAGACGGCACAAATGCATGGCTTGGTTGGGAAGCCACTGCTGTAAGCGAATCTTATATTCATACACTTGTCTTTGGTGTCTATATTGTTCTCGCTAACTTCCCAAAGGTACTTTACTAGTGTCTTTGTATCTTTAGGCGTCTTTCTTTTTGGCTATGACCAAGGTGTCATGTCTGGTATTATAACGTTCGTCTCCTGTCCTAAAAGAAGGTCCCAGGGTGTTCTCAAATTAATAACAAGGCAGTGGTTGGTATTTTAAGGACTATTTCAACCAACCGTCACGCGCTGCAATTGGTACGGTTGTTGCAATTCTTGAGGTTGGAGCCTTTATATCCTCGTTACTTGTTGGACGTATTGGCGACTTGATAGGGCGTCGCCGAACGATTCTTTACGGCTCAATAGTCTTTTTCATAGGCGGAGCACTGCAGACATTTGCAAATGGACTCGCCATGATGATGGTTGGTCGTATCGTCGCTGGTTTAGGAGTTGGCGCGTTGTCAACGATCGTGCCTGTTTATCAGTCTGAGATATCGGTAAATTATATACCCCCAACCTTGACCGAAATTTAGTCTCCCCCCGTTTATCTTCACCACTGCTAACAGCTAGCCTTAAGCCCCCCCACAACCGAGGGAAGCTGGCGTGTATTGAATTCACCGGAAATATTTCAGGATATGCAGCCAGTGTCTGGGTTGATTACTTCTGTAGCTTCATCGACAACAACTATTCGTGGCGTCTACCGTTACTATGCCAGTGTATAATGGGGGCTCTTCTTGGACTAGGAAGCCTCATTATATGTGAATCACCAAGGTCTGCTAAAGTATGCTTATGCTTACAACCAGAACGTGTGCTAATATTTCGCCCTATCAGATGGCTGTTGGATAATGACTATGATGAGGAAGGCATGGTAGTCATTGCTAATCTCTACGGACAGGGAGACTTGCACAATGACAAAGCAAGGCAGGAGTACAGAGAAATCAAGATGGATGTTCTTCTTCAACGGCAAGAAGGTGAAAGGTCTTACACTGACATGTTCAAGCGATACAAGAAACGGGTCTTGATAGCCATGTCCGCTCAGGCTTTAGCCCAACTGAATGGTATTAACGTCATCTCCTATTATGCCCCGCTCGTTTTCGAATCAGCAGGGTGGGCGGGCCGCGATGCTATTTTAATGACTGGCATCAATGCAATTTCATATCTCGCATCCACGGTTCCTCCATGGTACCTTGTTGACCGCTGGGGTAGGCGACCAATCCTACTTTCGGGAGCTGTCGCTATGATTGTCTCTCTCTCTTTGATATCATACTTTATTTTTATTGATGTTGCAGCAACTCCCACGCTCACTGTGATCCTCGTTATGATCTACAATGCTGCTTTTGGCGCATCCTGGGGACCTATCCCATGGCTATACCCGCCTGAGATCTTGCCATTAAGCATTCGTGCAAAAGGCGCCAGTCTTAGCACAGCTACGAACTGGGCTTTCAATTGGCTTGTTGGAGAGCTCACACCTATCCTTCAGGCCGTAATAAAATGGCGCCTCTACCTAGTGCACGCCTTTTTCTGTGCGTGTAGCTTCGTCCTCGGTTAGTATCATTCTCTTCAGCAAGTTAATATATCCTGACGTGTGCTTTGGTTAGTTTACTTCCTATATCCGGAGACTAGTGGCGTTCGTCTTGAGGATATGGATACTCTGTTTGGGGACGCAACTACTGCCATGCCAACACCCGCCTCTCAAGGAGAACGTGGCTCTCTAATGGGTGTTAGTTCGCCTGTGCCTTCACTTGACATACGGCGGCAATATGGCCAGTTTGGCCCTGAAAATGCTATTCCTGGTCTAGATATTGATCCTCCGATCATCAATGCTGGCGAGAATGCTAAAGTCGGTCAGCGTGGTTCTCAAGATGGCGGTGGCCGCCTTGAGGGCCTTGGCGGTTGGATCTCGAACATGGTCTCTCGCCACAAGGGGTCATCTGGACAACGGCTCCAAGGCACTCAGTATAGACGCCTTGGGCAAGATGACGAGAACGAGTAATGGGACGGTTGGGCATCATCAGCTCGCAATGAGGTCCCTATACATCTTCCATTGATATCACATTTCCTTTTTTTTCTTTCAATTCTTTTTCCTTTACTTCTTACGAAGGGTCTGGGATGAAGTTTTTTACATGTCGCACGTGCCCGTTTCTTGGCCTTTGCTTCGTGTCCATATCCTTGACCGCATATCACACTCTGTCTCCTAGTACACGTACGCCTACCGTTGTCTTACCACATTGCTGCGTAGAATAACGGTGCATCTGTCTTGACACGGCCTTTTGTGGGATAGTATAGAATTATCAGGTATTACCCATGCCGAGATATTAATTCGGACTTGAAATCTCAATGGACATGAGCTAATCACTGTGCACTGGGATGAAAGAGATCGCAACATTTTGTCCTAGATGTTCACAACCTTGAAGATAGCGCTCAGGATAATAGGGATTACTGAGAGCTGTGTTCTTCAATTAACTCCATCAATCTCTTTGGGGGTGAACGTTCGGATTATGGCGGAGTGACTTTAGTGGGAGTAGGTTGTTACTGTGTGGTAATATGTGTATATATAAGAAAATTTAGTCGCTTGCTGATCTTGCAAAGGTGTGTAAAATAGGCGTCGGCGGTCACATAGGACTCAAAAAGATTATCAGAGCTACCTCAGCGAGCCCAGGCGCTCTGCTTAGTTAATTAATGCAAGCGGGAGGCTCATACAAAATAGCATATTTTTACAATATGCATATCTCAGCCACTTTATAGTAGATCTGTTTATAA